CAATATTATCGTCGCTTAAATCGTTTGAATTTAACACTCGTTGAGGACATCGATAATGATTTGTTGGAACCGTTGAGTCTCTGCCACCGATTAACACATCTATCGTTGGATATGAAGCAAATGAGTGGCCAATTACTAGATAATTGTGACCAACATTTACCACGACTTCAATACCTGTCCATCAAAACTAAGTCAATGAGTGGCGAGCATTTGGCACACATCTCAAGACTACCGGCGCTGCAAATACTTACCATTAAAGTCAAACAAAGCAAACTCAGGGAAAAGGATTTCTCGAATCTCTTGTCCCGAAGACCTAAAATAAAAAATATTGTATTCATTAAAAATTCTTCACGAAAACATTTTTGCCGCACAAATGAGTTAAATAATTAAATTTTATTCTTTCGCTTTAAATATTAACAAAATCTTTGTTTTGAATAAACAAATAAACGATTTATAAATTTATAATAAAACCATTAAAATGCATATAAATTCCATTATAAACTATAATATTTATTACTAACAGTTTTTAAATAAAATTCAAACTACCGGTATTAATGAAAATATGTTTAATTCACTTATTTTTGAGTTGCAATGAAAATAATTCAATGAATTGTATGTTAAATGTGAGTGAAATGAATGACAAATGTATGGAAAGTATTAAAACAATTAATATTTCTAATATATTGAGAAAATCTCTTCATTTAATAATTCGATGAAAAACTGGCGAATAATTAAGACAACTGTTCCCGAGTTTGAGACCAAATCATACAAACAAATCATTGGTTTTCTTTTTGACAACTTTTTGCCGCAATTCTTGAAAACTGATGAAGACTTACGAGAATTGGAGGAATTTTTTCAAAATTAAAACTAAACTATCATTTGTTGTATAAATTACTGTTTGAATCACATTTAATAAACTGATTGTCAAAACATAACTAAACTTAAATTATTAAAATAATAAGTGATATAAAAGGATATTAGCATTAAATCAATGCATTATAAACTGAATTACAAGAAATAATAAGAAATATACGATATATTATAGGCATAAAATGTGACAAATGTTACAATAGGTGTCAGTCTTGTCGTCAGTTTGTGTTTGAAATTCAAACCCAGAATTGAATGCAACGGAAATATTACGGAATATTACGGTTGGAAACAGACATTGAATTCACAACCAATTGATTATTCATTCAAACAATCGCTTCATTTGATCGCAAAAATGCCTAAAAAGAGGAAACACTTGAAGACATCACTCGAGACCACAGATGACGGCAATGAAGACAACAGACGACACGTATTTCACATACAATTCACTGTTTATTGAGTTTTAATATTTTTTAATTCATATTTTAGCCAAAGATTTACGCGAAGAACTCAATGGACAGATTCGGCGATGATTTGTGTCAACTATTATTGTCTTATCTCTCACTCGAAGACTGTTTTCAATACGAATGTGTGTCCAAACAGTTCCAGAGGACAGTCTTCGAGAGCGTTGATTGCATTGAAATTTATAACGAATTGGTTAACAAAGTAATAAATAGAGAGACAATTGACGCCAAAAAGTTGGTCACAATCGCCAAAAAGTGTCCAAACATTCAGACCATTGACTGTCGAGGAATAACCACCAGATATGAAGAATATATTGGGAAAGTGTTGACCGCATTTCTATACAATTGCCGGCATTTGCGAGACATTTGCGTCAATATCAGGAGGAATAGCGCGAAAATGAAGCAATCGTTGGAACGGATGGTCACACATATCGACACTTTTGATTGGCTTCAGAAGCGATCACTCATTCATTACCGCCGATTATCACATTTACGCGTCCACTCGTTGTCCGAAGTGTTTAACAAGCATTTCAAACTATTACTGGTTTGGAATTTACACTCATTTTCATTTCATTATTCGAGTTTCAGCTGGAAATTCGATAATAAGGAACTGTTGTCTGAATTCGTGGCACACAATCAGTCCCTCACGAGTGTTGTCCTCCGTGTCGGAAGTTGGTATGAACTCCAAAATGGCGTTCAACACATTCCTCCCGAATTGGGCCAACAATTGTCACGATTAACACAATTACGGCGATTGAAACTTAAATTGGACTCAATTAATGACAATAACTCATTGTCTGAGTTCTTGCGTACGATTGGCATAAACTGCAAACAAGTGAAACGATTGTCACTTCTATTGGATTCACCGAAAAACCGATTGACAGGAAACACATTGAATTGTTTACAATATTATCGTCGCTTAAATCGTTTGAATTTAACACTCGTTGCGGACATCGATAATGATTTGTTGGAACCGTTGAGTCTCTGCCACCGATTAACACACCTATCGTTGGATATGAAGCAAATGAGTGGCAAATTACTGGATAATTGTGGTAAACATTTACCACGACTTCAATACCTGTCCATCAAAACTAAGTCAATCAGTGGCGAGCATTTGTCACACATCTCAAGACTACCGGTGCTGCAAACGCTCGCCATTAAAGTCCAGTCAAGCAAACTCTGGGAAAAGGATTTCTCGGATCTGTTGTCCCGAAAACCTAAACTAAAACATATTGTATTCATTAAGGCTTCTAAAAAACATTTGCATTTTTGCCGCACAAATGATTTAAATAATTAAATTTTATTCTTTTGCTTTAAATATTAACAAAATCTATAATTGAATAAACAATTATACGATTTATAAATTAATAATAAAATCATTAAAATGTCTATAAATTCTTAATATTTTATTTTACTATAATATTTATTATTAACTATAATAATTAATACAAACAATTCTTTTAAATAAAATTCAAACTATTAATGAAAATATGTTTAATTCACTTATTTTTGAGTTGCAATGAAAATAATTCAATGAATTGTGTTAACTGTGAGTAAAGTGAATGGAATACGAAAATCAAATGATAAATGTATGGAAAGTAATAAAACAATTGGTATTTCAAACGATGGTGATAATATTTTAGTTAATAATAGTTATATTAAAATTAATAATGAATTAATTATGAAATACACGAAAACTCCTTAAGAAAAGTTTAGGAATTTCTTAAGAAATGAAAAGTTTTACCTGAGATTAGGCTATGGTTTGCCTAACGATTGGGATCTCATTAAAAAAAAGTTTAAGAAATTTATAATTAAGACAACGGTTCCCGAGTTTGAGACCAAATCATACAAACAAATCATTGGTTTTCTTTTTGACAACTTTTTGCCGCAATTCTTGAAAACTGATGAAGACTTACGAGAATTGGAGGAATTTTTTCAAAATTAAAACTAAACTATCATTTGTTACTGTTTTAATCACATTTAATAAACTCATTGTCAAAACATTATTAAACTTTAATTATTAATACATAATTAAAACTTTATTTCAAAATAAATAAAAAATGTATTAAAAAGATTTTGTACTCAATGTTGACATTAAAATAAGATGTTTTTAATTTCAATTGACAAACAATTTATTCATTTTAGAGATTAGTTTTGTATATAAATCGGCGTTTTTCCAGTTGTTTCCCACCAGTGATCAAATCCCGTACCGCACTGTCAGTCCATCAATATCTCCAATTAAACCATCACTTTCTATGTTAATCGCTGACCACTTCTGATTATGTTTGAATCTCGGATCCAATCCTTGAGTCCTTAAAAGTTTGAAATTTAATTATTAAAACAAATAAATAATAATAAAAACATTTATATCTCAAGTAATGCCAGATATTTATCCGCTTTTTAAATCACCATTTGATCCGTTGATGTAATCGACAAAAGAGATTGCATTTCATATAAAAGTAAATAAATTTGTTAAAGACTTACATTTTCCACAATTGTCTTAACATTACTTTGGATGCAAACCATGGAATCGATTCCAATCTGTATTAAAACCCTAACACTCGAAGCTATGGTCCCGAGTATTACAGACATCAAGTGCTATGTAATGGTCTGAAAGGTGATATCAAGTGCTGGTGTTTCTTACAGATAGATATCAATTGTGTGGTTTGGACACAAGAATCAGATGAAAGATTGAACATTGAATCCATCGGTTGTACAGCACTCGAGGTTCTGATCCCGAGTATTACAGAAACCGAGTGCTATGTAATGGTAGGGAAAGGGATATCAAGTGCTGGGGTTTTATTAGAGATTGTTATTAATTGCATGGTTTGAACACTAGAAGTAGAGGAAGGGTTGGGAAGCGATCTTCTAGTATTTTGAATATTAATCATGAAGTATTTTAAATCATTAATTAATGTTAAATTTAATAAGGAATTTAAACATTGAATTTATTTATATCTAATTTAATTATATTTAAAATTAATTTTAAAAATAAACATAAGAATGCAAATTCTGTAAGAATATAATTTTATGTTATAATTTGCAAAAAAAATCATTTAAATGTATTATGCTTAATTTTAAGTTAACCATTATCTATTGTCTATTTGGTTAACCAAATTAAATCCATAATTAATTGCCATTGATTAAAATGAGATTAATATCTAGAATTATTGATTATTTTTATTTTATAAGTCCCTTAAGAGGGCTGATCCCGGATATCAAAGATTGTTATCCCAATTAAAGATTATTAATACAGATATTCTTGTAATGAATTGAATAATGCATTTAAATTCAATGTCAGCATTAATTTTAGTGTATAATAAATGTAACATTTGTTAATCGCTTGTAATATTAATATCTAGACTATAGACTCAAAAAGCAAATGAAAACTAATTGTAATTTGAAAAACAAAATGTGAATTTTACTAAAAAAAAAGTTTTACTAAATCTTTAAATAACTTACTTAACGGTCAATGCCTTAAATGTATATCGCGTTTGGTTTCTCTTCCCTGGAAAATGAATATCACTTTTTTGGGTCATTTGAATGTTTCACTGAATTTTTGTGATCCATATTTTTAGTGGGAGAGGAAGAGAGAGAGAGGCGAGTAACTCGTTATTCAATATATTATTTTGTATGAGAGAGACATTTGCGAGAATA